AGGAATTTGTATTCAAAGCAAGTCTTCTTACATATGATTCTCAGTTCCAGATATAAGGCTTTTGAAGTACAGTCATAGAAATAAGATTATTTCTGTGGTTTTTAAATGTATCCTGGAACAAGAGTCTCATCTACTGCTGACCTCTGTCATAGGCTGTGCCCTACAACATGCTTTGCCGCACAATCCCAAATTTTGCATCAGATATTATAAAATTTAAAAGTCTAAAAACTTGTTTTATTTCGTGTGTGTGTGCATTTGTAGAAGAGTAGTAAATAAATTTAAATGGTGATTCATCAAACTGGTATTTCTTAGTAAAGGCTTTTGAGATCTTAACATCAGTGTTGTTGACAAGGGAGTGCTGGAATTTCCTGCTGTGTTCTGAAAATGCTGCTGCTGTCTCTGAAAGTTCTGCCCAAAGGTTAAACTAAAACAATGACATACCTTCAGTGTGAAATTTTATTTTACATTATTTTACAGCCAGCACATACTTTGTTTTTCTCTTTGCATTCTTACTCTACATAAACTCTTTTGGCTGTTTAACGTGTGTTTCCTGTTTTCCTCCTGTCGAAATAATAGTTTAAAATTTAGTAGCATGACAGATGACTTGAAGTTAGGAGCAGGGAAAGAATCCAACCATACCAGTGTTACAAGTCTGGGAGGGAAAAAACTTCATCTATGATTATGAGAGTCTGAGTGTCACTTAATACACTACATGATTGATACAGGAAAACTAAACACATCATGGGTCAGCAATAAAAACTGGGCTTTGTGCACCAAAGGAAGTGACAAGGATTTTGTCAGAGACAAATCTTTAAAATTTAACTCTTGTTTTTGAAGGCAAGGATTAACATTACCTGAAGAACAAATGCTTGTTCTTTCAAAAATTGGTCAGTGAGTGAGTGGGCAGGGCATACCAGCAAGATTCTACCTGAACATTCTTAGGATGGCAGTAAATACAAGCTTGATGGTGTTTAGCACTAGCTCATAAAGTCAAGAATTAAACTTATTTTATGGGTTTCACAGTTAATAAAAGGTCAGAATTATAAATTATGTAGAGTCTGGGTCAGTGCAGGTGCATTCTCCTTCCCCTCTCCCTCATTTGTCACTCTGGTGTTGAGACCTCCTTTGTTCCAGATAACCTTAATAATAACTAAATAATGTAAAACAAATTAGTGGCTTGTCATTTTGGATGCCATGATAAGCTACAGTTTCTCCAAAACCAAGAAGTCTTCACAATCCAAGCCATATAAGAGAATAGGAAGACAGGAGTGCACAAGCCTGAAGATTTCAGAGGTTCATTCCTGTAATTAACCAACCATGATTTGTTCCTTATGTGCTAATGAAGCCATTGTTTAAATAGTGGTTTCAGTGAAGCCCTTAGAATAGAATTGAATCCAAAACCCCAGATCTCTGAAACTGAAAATCTTGGTTTGGTTGCTGTATCCATCCTTCCCCTAGCAGCTCCTGGAGGCCTCAAGAACACTGATGTTGTGGATAAGGTAATCTCTTTGACAGAATGACATATGGGATGCAGAGGGAGGGGAATCAGACAAAATGCTCCCATTGTCCTGCTTTCATTGGTACAAGAAGCTCCATTGGCACAAGAGGCATTGCACGCACCCCATCGCACATGCACAAAGTTCCTCAGACTCCCCCCCCCTCCCCAATACATCAGTTTTGAGGAAGTCTCAGTATTGCCAGGCCGGAAGGAGGATTCAGGAAAAATCCACACCCACAAGCACTTCCCTCTTGTGGTTCATAAGATCTAGACCAGACCCTTGGTTTTATATAGTAGATTTCTCTTGTGTACCTTAGTCATTATTGATTTAAGTCAGGACTAGGTTTTTGTGATTATAATATAGCTATTGTTTTTAAATGTTTTTTTAATATATACAAGAAAATTGGAGACAATGACTTGAATGCAATACTTTCCTTTTGTTTGTGGAGCATGTTTCTCAGGTGCTAGATGCTTTCTGCTCATGGAAAACCAGGGTCTTCCCTGAGCAGAAAAGTGCCTAGTGCAAGAAGACAGTCTCCACAGTGGAAGATAGCATTCTACAAGCAGAAGGAAATGCAGGATCAACAGAGGTTTCCTGAACCTGCTGGATTTCCACTTTTTTATTTGCAATCACACACACTAAATAATCCACATTTAATCCACTTTCCAACTGGATTTTGCCAGTTCACATAGTAAAATCCAATTGGAAAGTAGATTGAATGTAGATTATTTAGTGTGTATGATCGCTGCCTAAGAGTAAGCCAGATAGATATAAGCCAAACAGGTGAAGTGTGCTTCAGCCCTGATTTTAGTGAGAGAAAATATATACTTAATTTTCCAGTTGAAACCAAATGGGGCTGATAAGTGCTTAACCTGAGGTGGATTGTGCCCTTAACATTAGCTACCTGGTGTCCAAATATGAAAACCTAGAATTAGGAAAGTATGTGCCAAAGGAAATGTAGTTGCTCTGGGGCTATATTAAAATTATTTACTAAACTGGAAGCTGATTATGCACAGGAAATTAAAAGGGCTGGGCATTAAGCAACATTTCTTCACAAAGTGACTACATAGTAAAATAATTTGCAAGAGCAGCAAAAGCAACTTGTGATGTATTTTTTTAAAGTATATTACTAAGTTTGTTATTTAAAATATCTGCCATCAATAAGTTTCTTCTCTCTTATTCATCCTGTCAGATCCATTGCTTTCCCAAGCTGCCTTTATGATTGTCCTAACCTTCTGTAGCTGTTAGTGGTGTCTTTGACACTGCATGTTCACTTCACAACAAACTTAGCCAATTCGCCTTTTAAGGCTAGTACGAACATAAAACTGAGTGTGTCCTAGCTGTGGTTAATGGAATGGGAAAAGGTGTCAGGACTGTACACTTGTTCCTCTCAGATATACTCTCTCCAGTTTTTACCCACCACCTTTGAACATGGTTCAGTGATACATCTGCCAGGGCTAATTATTGTTATCATAGTTTATCCAGAAAATGACTATCTATAATACTATAGTACTCAACATGGCAAACCAAGGCTGAGTTCAGACTGGCAGTTTGCCCCGATATAGGCACGAGCCAGAAACGTTTCACAAATGGATTAAAGGGGCCATTCACACAGGCACATCTGTGAGGCATTCCCCAGCCGTACTCAATGCGTCTTGTAACGCCTCCCTCCCGAGTTTAAAAGATACCAGGTGAAAGTGGTAGCAAACCCTGGAGACCAGCGCGTCCATCCCGCTTCCCGGAAGTCTGAATGCTAAAAGCCGCACAAACAAACCACATTGATAATTGCGCACCTATGCATAGTGTGCAGTGTGATCTTTTTTGCCATGACTCCCTTGCGATTCAAACTGCCAGTCTGACCTCAGCCCAAGATTCACCCTCAACTCCGGATTTATAACCAGTTTCAAACCTTAGTTTGATCTTCCAGATTAAGAGCTTTGTGCAAATTTATGTTTGCACATAATTGAGGTACATTCTTACTACTTATGCTCCACTCTTCCTAACTACCTACAGCGGTTTATGTATGTTATGTCATAGTTGCAAATATTATAATCACAATGTTACGGGGGGGGGGCTCAGACTTTGGCTGTGATCACACAGGCAGTTTGGCCTGACACAGGCACTCCTCCCCTCCAGATCAAATGGGTTCAGTCAGACACCCACATCTGTCAGGCGTTCCCCAGCCATACTTATCCTGTCATAGGACGACTTGGAGCCAGGTTAAAAAGGCACCACTTCACAAGTGGTGTTTTCGGTTCCCTACGCAGTCATCGCACATGGCCGGATGTCTGAACACAGGGCAGCACGCACAGAACAGATTTGGCAGTCTGAACCTGCAGACCCGTTCTGCCACTAGGGGGCGATTTTTTTAAAAATTGCCTATATGCGCACATATGTGTGTGTGTGTGCACTCCTATGTGCGCACATGAATTTTGGAAATTTTTTGGCAGGGCGCTCTGTGTCTGAGGCACTTCAATAATGTGGACGCTTTACCACTGGATGTGTCCATGGATAACCTGCAGCAGCGTGTGCTGTGTGGCTGATATGCCCCACAACACTTTAAACTGGTTCAATTAGAGGCCGCACCATATTGTGACCACAGCCTGAGAGAAAGTAGCTTGTGGAAGACCACCTAGTGACTTTATGGCCAAGGTGCTTAGCCTACCTCTCATTCCCTAAACCTACTGTGGCTCTTATAACACACTGGATTCCTACTCCTGCTTAAGGTAATATTGCTTTTGAGTTTCTGGCAACTATTCCACTCCATCTTAATTTTATATAAGGCCCATGAGTTCTGGGGCTTGAGCACAGTCCATGAGTCTGTATATCCTGAACTGGAGACTGTAGGGAACCTAGTTCTATATGTGATTGAAGATATTGCCACTTTCTGACTCACAAGTCCTGCATTCCCAGCTAGCTGTGGAAACACCTGACTGCGATACAGGCAAAATGTTCTCTTCTTCCTGGTCGTGTCATGGCTCAAGTTGGCATGGGTTCTGAAGGGGGTTCTAATTCCTTTGGATACTAGTCTGTACACTGTCTCATTCTGACGTCTGTTCTCATTAGCAACTTTATTTCTGTCAGTGTTCTTAACTAGCTTGTCTATAGCACAATGAGTGTTCTGTTATTGTTATCTGGATATTGACAGGACTAGTTGATTTCAGTTCTGCATTATGGGGGGGGGGGGGTGAGAAATCACTTCTAGTTTCAGATTTACTGTCCAGAGAAACTGTCACAGGAAATCCACAGGTAAGTACACAGATTTTTTTCCAATGCTGCCACTGATTTTAAGATCTATTGCAGTTTACTTTGCTTGTACCTTGGCCTTAATCTGCAAAATATTAGCTTTCCCTTTAACAAAACTTAGCTGGATTTGAAACAAGAATGGCAGATTCTTCCTGCTCTTAAAGAAGACAACTAAGAGTCCACATTTTTATGTGGATAATTCTGCAGCAATCTGGATTTCTTACTACTTCTTTGTTGTTTCTTACTTGCTTTTAGTGCTGAGGCAGGGGCTGGCATTCAGTCCTGTCTATCGATTTTCCCTGTCGGATGGCACTATAGTTGCTGCCCAAACGAAGAGCAAGCTCATCCGTTCTCAGACTACTAGTGAACCTCAGCTTGTAATATCCTTGCATATGCTTCACAGGTAATTTATTAGAATATCTTTATCTTGAGAATCTTCATCGCCACTTCCTAAAAACCTCTGCAGAAAGAGTACATAATTGACAATCTCTTGCATTTCTGGAAGCACAAAGCTCTTAAAAAAAAAGGGGGGGGGGGGCGGGTGTAGAATAACAGTAAGCCATAGATTTCTTTAGAAAACAAATCTGTCTTAAACATTTATTGAGAAGGAAATTCCACTGACTTGATTTGAATTCCAACTAAGTGAATTTAAGACTGCAGTTTAACATCACTACAACAAACAGATACGGGTAAGAAGCTGTTCTTTCAGGTTTCATTTTGTCTCTTCCAGCCATTTGTAATTAATCTGAGTAGTTATTCTGTGTGCCATAAAATTAGATATTTTATGATCTCCCTGTCATGTTTAGGTTCTGGTCATTGTCATTTCATAATTGCATACTAGGCGAATTCCTATGACTTTGGCAAAGCTAATAACAGTTCTGTTTCAAAATACAGGGCTGTTTTTTATGGCTCATAAATCGCTAACATACTAATATACACACAACATGGATTGAGCAATCAGATTTTCAATTGAAAGGTTTCTGCACAACATACTATTTCCCCTTCAATTAAACAACAAACTAACTTTATTCAGAGTCATTAGATTCAGTTTGCATATTTGTGCCAGGTTCTATTTTAAATTAGCAGTTTTTTTAGAAATAGAAATAGCATGCATTTTATTACTTGCTGTTATCTTTTGATTACTGCAAATGAGTAAGTGCTGTAAACTGAAAGGAAAGGACTGCAACTTGGTTCAAGTATGCAGCTATCTAAATAAATACTCAACAATTCAAAACTGTTTTTGTTGGAATTAAGGAACCCCTTTGCTATTCCATGGGTGTCAGCTGAGGCAATAAAATTAAAAACCTGAAGCTGCAAATCAAATACTTACAATAAAATTAAGGAAAATTTTTTTACCATGTATAATGCAATTCTAGAAACAGGATATTAACCAGAATTTTCCTTGGTGTTTTTTTAGTGTGATTTCCCCTTTCATTTCATTCATCTTTTGCTGACGAGAATTGACTGGGCAGTTTCTCTTTCTAGTCAGCTTTTCTTTCCTGTTCTCATGCCACTAGCAGGGCAAAGTTTAAATGTTTCAACTGCAGAACTTACAGTGCAAACACTGCAAAGGAATGTCTAAATCTGTGCCAGAAAATTGCTATTGCATATAGTTTATGAAGCCCTTTTTCCTTCAATACTCAATTTTGCACACATTTTATTCTCCAGAAACTTTTTTGAGGTCAAGCCTGTTTTTTAAGACTTTGAAAAAGACTTTACTGAAGTATTTTTTAACTTACAAAAACCTTGTAAGAAAATCTGTAAAGGGAATTAATTTACAGTGTTCTTTAAATAACTGTCTTGCACAATTTCGCTTAAATTTGGGTGTCACAGCTACCTATTGACTATTGCTTCTCTCAAGAATAGTCATGAGTTGTTGTTGTTGTTGTTGTTGTTGTTGTTGTTGTTATGTAGATTTCTGGATCGCCCAATCCCTGAGTACAAAAGGCTTTGGGTGATTTATGCAGTGAAGCACTGGGTACTCATAAAGAGAATGAAATTATCTTGAGTCTTCATGAAAGAAGTTCAGCATTCCTTCCCACACTCCCTGGATAGTATTCCTTGCCTTGCATGGGATTGAACACATTGCCAAGTAACATTAGACCTTCCCTGCTCAGTATTTCAGACCTGTGCCTGTTGAAAAGGAGAAGTATAGGTCCATGCTATTTACATATCTGCTGTAGCATGGAAGCAAGAGGGAGCCTATAGCCTCCAAAAACTGTGGAAAATGGGAAGCACAAAATAATTTGGGCATTCCCTGCCATGGTGGCCTGGAGAAACAGAAGCAGTCCACCCAGTGGGAGAGGTGATTTGAGAACTCAGCTGTCAGTATTCCTCTGTTTTTGCAGTTGGTGACAAAGGTCTTGTATACTATATAGCCCTTATCTGTATTTTAGTCACCAATAGATTTGCCTGAGTTTTCAACTGTCTAGAGTCTTTGGAGGCTTTGCACTTCATTCAGCAGAACATATCTGACCAAGAGCCGAACAAAAGATACCAGAACAGAAATATGGCTGTCTCTCTGCAGCATAGTCTTTATTTTCCCTCCTGCTCATCAGCTTATACGTACACTGGCTATTTTACTATTACCACTAGTGGGACTGTCTCACAAAGGATAAAATGTGAATGGGATACATTTGTATTTGTCATGTGGGAAAGCCTTCCTCTCTGGTCCCCTTGCTCCATCCCACACCTACCCATTTCAGTGTGTGTGTATGTATGAGGTTTTTCCTCTAACGATGTAACGCCAACTTTTGTTCAGTAGGGTTTCTTTTGGGGGCTCCTTTAGAGCAGTCTTGCAGCTTTTTGGCTGTTCAGAGAAATGACTTCAAAAACGTACTTTTCACTGTGAGCATGGTTGGAAAATGCTAGTGCAGGTTCAGGGCTATAGAAGAGGTGTTACTTTAAAAATGTTAAGAAGTGCTTTTCTATTTCATTGTTTTTAATTAAGAAGTTTGGATTTGTCTTATATTCTCCCCCTCCCTCTCCAAAGATTGAAAATTGAAAGTTATTTGTAGTGCATTTAGTGATGAGCATGCAGGGGAGGGGGGCGGGATGCCACAACTTTCAGTCTTGTATTTGTAGCACCAAGATAGTTGTTGCTGCTGTATATTTTTCTGTGTAACTTTCCAAAATGTGCAAACAGATATGTTTTAGTCATGAAATTAGGGTGTGGGTTTCCTTTCCAGCTGAGGTCTCATTGGGAGAAAATAATTACATCTAGCTCATTCAGGTGTCAGAACAAGTTGCAATGGAGTTTTAGAATTGTTAAGGAGAATAATGACTTAAGTTTGTTAGAATCCTGGTTTGTATGGAGTAAGCAGTCTCCTGTTCATGGAGGCACCTGTATTCAGACATCATTCAGACAGAACTGGTGCCTGATCAAACTGGGAAGTTTTTCATCAAGCTCCACACACAGACTGAGGTGGCGGGAGGAAGGGTCACACATAAACTGAGTCTGTGCCCAAATGGAGTTCAGTTGCAGCTTGTCATGACCACCTGGTTTGTCAGCATTCTGCTCTCACCTCCTCTCATTTTGGAACTTAATTTACGATCCGGTTGGACATAATGTGTGAATGCAGCTTGTCTAGAGAATAGAGCTGGTCATCCTCTCGCTTCCTCTCTCCCTGCACAAGGTGGGAATGCTGAAACATGGCAGCCAGCCAGAAAGCAAGCTGTGTGGCTCTAGAGGAGGAGAGAGGAGTAAGGGGGCCATATATATAGTCTAGCAAACAAGCTGTGTTCAGGCACAGTGCTGACAAACCTTTTTAATTAGAATTTGTGGTGGTATCTAAATCTGTCTCTTTCCAATCTGTAAAGTAGGAATAACAATGACTTTTGCAAACAATGTGATTGGCTGTTCTCTCTTTCTAAAAACTGGTTATCTGTTTTAAAGTGTGAACAAGATAAATAAATGTTACTACAGGATTAAGAAAAGATCAGAATACAATTAAATACTCTGTCCATCTTTGCACACTGGGAGTATCAAAAGTATATTCTTTTGTAATTCAGCATTTAAAATGTCAATTGTAATGTCTTGTTATCTGATTTCCCCCCCATGTTATAGGGAACAGAATGTTTGTGGAATGAACCAAGATCTAACTGGACAAGCAATGGGAAAGCCATTGAACCCAATTAGCTCCAGCAGCCCTGCCCATCAGGCCATGTGCGGTGGGAATCCAGGTCAGGATATGACCATCAGTAGCAATATGAATTTTGCCATAAATGGCCCGAAGGAACAAATGGGCATGCCAGCGGGCAGGTTTGGTGGTTCTGGTGGGATGAACCATGTGTCAAGTATACAAGCATCCACTCCTCAGGGTAGTAACTATGCACTAAAAATGAATAGTCCCTCTCAAAGCAGCCCTGGCATGACACCAGGTCAGCCAAATTCTATGCTTTCCCCAAGGCATCGTGTGAGTCCTGGAGTGGCAGGAAGTCCTCGGATCCCACCCAGTCAGTTTTCTCCTGCAGGAAGCTTGCATTCACCTGTTGGAGTTTGCAGCAGCACAGGAAATAGCCATAGTTATACCAACAGTTCCCTCAATGCACTTCAGGCTCTCAGTGAGGGGCATGGAGTCTCTCTAGGGTCATCATTGGCTTCGCCTGACCTAAAAATGGGTAATTTACAAAATTCCCCTGTAAGTATGAATCCTCCCCAGCTAAGCAAAATGGGAAGCCTGGACTTGAAAGATGGCTTTGGACTTCATGGGGAGCAATCGGAAGGTACAACTGGACAAGCAGAGAATGTCTCCCATTCAGGAGAGCAGAAAGAAAGTAATGATAACATGCCCCAGGTTGTAAGTGGTGACAGGTCTGATGGACAAAACAGACTACATGATGGCAAAAGCCAGACAAAGCTCTTACAGCTGCTGACCACCAAATCTGATCAGATGGAGCCTTCACCTTTGTCTAACGCTATGGGAGATGCTAACAAGGACTCCATGGGTTTATCTGGTTCTGGTTCAGCACATGGAACCTCGCTCAAGGAGAAGCATAAAATTTTGCACAGACTCTTGCAGGATAGCAGTTCTCCTGTAGACTTGGCCAAGCTCACAGCAGAGGCCACAGGCAAAGAATTGAGCCAGGAGACCAGTAGCACAGCTCCTGGTTCAGAGGTGACTGTTAAACAGGAACCAGTGAGTCCCAAGAAGAAAGAAAATGCACTACTTCGCTACTTGCTAGATAAAGATGATACTAAAGATATTGGTTTACCAGACATTACCCCGAAACTGGAACGGTTGGACAGTAAGACAGATCCTTCCAGTAGCACAAAGCCAGTAGCTATGAAGACAGAGAAAGAAGAGATGCGCTTTGAGCCTAATGAACAGGTAAGAAGTAACTCTTTCATTGTTCATTAACAGATGGGTGGATCAAACACTCTTGGTTGTTCTCTGACATCTTCATCGGATGATGTTTTGATAGGTTCAAGGATATGGCACTTGGTCCCATTTACATGCCAGTGATCTTGCTTGTATTGCCAACACTTGGTGGGATGAAAAGGTCTGATCCTAGTTGCCTCTAGCCTGGTTGTTGGTACAGCATCAGCTGTGCACTGCAGGGCAAGGAGGAAGTGTGGGAGTGAAGTGGCAGACATTAGAGGCACTGCTTTGGCAGTCATTGCCTGACTTGTCTTATCATTGGGTGAAATCTCAAAGATAGCTAATAATACAGGTGCAGAGTATAAAGCAGAGGGAGATCTTGTTTTGAAAAGCTTCAATGAGCAAACGTACAGTTGTTCATTGGGCCAGGCCTAGTGTGTATAAAAGTATGTAGGTGCTTCTGCATAAGCAGCAACTATCTGCTCTAGAGTAAAAAAGGGTATTTGTTAACAGCATAATCTTATTTCCCACAGGAAGTGTAATCTAAATATAGATCAAAACAATGGTAGAGCAGAGAATATTCTAAATTGTTCCATCGTCCTCAGTTTCCTCCCTTCTCTTCCTCCTCCAAGAACAAAAGCTGTTGTGCTCTTGTGGTTCCTTACCTACTTACTGAGCACAGTTGTTGAAGCCTATCCTCTGAAGTGGTAGATCTTTAAATAATTACTAGTTTCACTCTTTAGTTTTCACTGGAAATGTAATATGGCCATGACGGAGTAGAAAATATTTTATAAGGAAGAATTTGGTGAAAAATAAACATAACATTTCCTCCTTTCAAGTGGAATTTTTTTCTGAACAGGAAACACAAAGCACATACAATACCAAAAATAGCATAATTCCAGGTAGCATATTTAAATAGTCATCTTCCTGGCCCACAAACATGTATCTCAACAATTTTGCAACAAATATTTTGTCACTAGAAAGTCACCATATAATTTTGAAACCACGTTAATCTTTTTTCTGACAGCTGCTTATCCTTTCTTGCTCATAGGTGTATTACAAGCATGTGCGTATACGTCAGCCAGTCACTTTTGGTGCATTGGTATAAATACATATTGTCTGAAGCATTGCTTTCCATTTAGTTCTGGAAGAGTCTGATATATTGGTTTGCTGGGCTTGCACTGTTTGTACTTTATGGTCTTTTAAAACCTGCCAGATTACAAATGAGCCCTATATTTACACAGCAGTTGTCTACCTCATGTGAAAATTGTTATCCCCAGTTTTCTCAAAATATTGGCAGAGATTTTTCTTGTTTGCCATTGTCATAGATGGTTACTCTTAAATTTGTTTTTTTTTAACTAAATGCAAATGATTGTAGCAAGCTATTACACAGAAGTCCTAGGAAAGTCTTACTGAGAAGTATAATGCTGTACAAGCTGACAAAAATACAAACCAGGTGGGAAATAGTCTTGGCTGGAACCAGATTTATACTGTGTGCAGTAGATAAAGCCACTGCAGAAAGGCTGAAAGATAGGCTCAGTAGTCTGGTGCTAATATACCCTCTTCTCTCTGCGCTTAAATAGCAAATGTATATCAGATGTACACAAAACATCTGTAGTCCCTGAAAAACTTGACCCACGTGTACAGCAAAATGTGGGCAAAATGTGGATTTGAAAGCATTTGGGAAGTTAACTATATAGAAAGCTACAGAGGAGGAGATTAGCATGCGTGGGCTAATTCCAGGGTGACCTGAGAGGTCCCCGTGATCCCTGGCATGCTCTCACAGGTGAGTATAATAGATGATATATCTGGCAATGTCAGTTCAGGCAGTGCAGG